CCCCAATGCTCCCCAAAACCCAAAAAGTCCAAGTTTATAATTCCTTTTACCCTTTATTCTTCTCTGAGTTCAAATAATAACTGCATAAAAGTAATTACAGTACTTTTAAAAATATTTTTGGAAAAAAATCATCTTGATGCATTCCCTTATTCTATCTAGACTTGCATATCATACCAGCTCTGCAAAGCTGCAGAATTAGGAATTCTAGAACGTTAAGGAATTCTAGCTAATAATTAGACCCTGAAACAGAGCGAAAAATAAGCTGTACAGGAAATCCCCCCCAAACAAAATCTGAAATACAAACTGAAATGAGGAAATCGGAAAAACAGACAGAAAAAAAGAAACAATGTTCCACGTTCAGTCAATATCTCTAAAGAACCATCCTCAGTTGTATTGATGAATGCTGTAACCACCCTTCTGATTATTTCTGTATTTGACTTTCAGTCTTCACTGAAAATTTCTATTCTGTCTGATTTGAAAAATCAGAAACACTTATTGACATTTCAGTTGAAAACTGATGAGATGGAACTATGTGTAGTGATGAAATAGCTGTGTATGACAGTCTCTAAAGAGAAATGTTCCTGTTCCTTGACTTCAAAGTGAAAAACAGGAAGTCTATCATCAAGAAACTAGGAAAAAATGTTGTTTACACCTTTGGGAACAAAAGTGTCACCACAGTAAACAAAACTCCCCAATAACTATGAAAATCTAAGACTCCAAGGTGAAATACAAAAGTTTCAGAAAGCTTCTTAGTTTTAATATTCAAGCTCAACTGATTCAAGTCCTGCCACCTACTAACCATGTGTTGTAGGAAAGCAGGAAAGACCATTCTCAGCAACAATCAGAAACCTTGTTCTGAGACAAAGTTTGCTAAATTTTGGCAAACCTTTTTTCACAGCACACCTTGTTTACATAATCTGCCTTATATAAAATGGCTATGGGGGAAATTTTAGGAGCCAAAGTGTCAGGAGAGCCTGAAAAGACACCAAGTCTGAGAAAAAGAGGTAAAAATACATTGCTTTCAGTGATGAAATTTAAGTTAGCAGCATGTAGATTTATAACGATGGTACAGTTTACCAGATTTCAAATAATTAATTTTTAAAAACAGAAAAGTAATCAGGTTTAATGTTCAATCCTTTTTATCCTACAAATTATAATCCAACCAAGTGCATATTTTACCTCTGAATTTTCAAATATTAAACATTTTAACTTCATGATAAATGCTTTAATTAGCTTCTGTAATAATAATTTAGTCCTCAGAATAACAATAATAATAATAATTAACTCTTCAGAAAATTAAGAGATGCTTTGTTTTTCAGTTGTTGTGCCCAATTTTTCATTTGTTTGTTTTTCTAAACAATGCAGCTTTTCTTCTCTAAGGCTAATGTCAAAATAAATTTGTATCACTTATTGGGTTGGAAGCCTATAAGGCATAGCATCACAATACTGAACTTGAAAATTTCTGAGAAATAGCAGCTCAAAAAGACAGAAGAGTGAAAGTAAAATCTGTTTAAACTCATGTTTTGCTTTGCCTTCCTTGATTCTCACCAGTTTGCAAAAGGAAGCTGAAAATCCTTATATACTGGCACTGCATATTTGACATGAAACAGAGTGGTTGACATACAATAGCTTTTCTTTGACACAAATTATATAGATACCCAAATATTTTTGTTCATTGGAAGCACAGTTTGCAACAGACTCCTGGCCAAGGGTGAACAGATTTGGTGGCTGACTATTTTGGTCAGAACAGAGAGTGGCATCTTTTGAACTTAGTCAAAATGTTAATCCACTACAAGAACCAAATGTTTTTGACTCAACACATTTGGGGAAACATCTCAGCTTCAGCTTGTACTTCCTGAATTTATCAACAGCAACTTCAGCTATCTTAAAATCAATCAAAGATCAAATTCCCCTGGACATAATTATATTTTGGCAAAGTTGTGATGCTGGAAAGATACAGTGAATGTGAATAAAAATGCACATTCTAGCAATCATATCGAGTCACAGATCGTGCACCATACTATATTAACATTGATGGGAACTGCTTGTAAGGAAAACAGAAAGCTCACAAATTCATAGCAATTCAACAACAAAGTTTAGAATTACATTTTATCAACTTTGTGAATCAACACTTCATGAGAACTGCATCCTTATCTCCAATACACCCATCACTGCCTGTGTGCCACCTCCTTCTTCCATATTCTAAATGCATATTAAACATCTCCCTTGTCAGTGAGTCCCCCTCCTGTTTTCAAAAGCACCCCTCTTCTTCTAAGCACCATTATCCTTCACAAGATACTAACCAAGGAGGAAAAAACAAACTGGAAAATAAATCATGCAAAGAGGTGCAGTCACACACCTGAAGATTTTATTGCTATAAAAAACCCCAGTGGAAGGAATCCTAGGGGCAGCAATAATCATGAGAGTTTTGGGCAACAGCAGTGTTCAGCCTAAATACCTCCTGTGACTGAGGGCCTCACCATTCACATTGTGACACCAGAGGACATCAGGGACTGGCACCCAACCTTCCTGAAAAAATCTGAGTTTGGGATACACTGAAAATTCTGGAGGACAGAGGCAAGAGTCAAATTTATTCTTCCAATTAAACCTTTTAAGGAAGACATTTAAAAAATTATAATATCCCAGAGTTTTCAACATTTACAGAAGAAAATATCAATGAATCCTCTGTATAATAGCTTACATTATTGATTCAGTCATGCAGCTCCTAAATGAAAAAGTACTTTTGGTTAAAAGTCTAATGTCACCTTCATGTTCGACAGAATACGTGATGGTTTGGAAGCTATTATTTCAAAACTCACATGTTGGAATTTTCTAATTGACTGCTCATACGTGTCAAAATTGTTTTATAATTATCCACAGAACAAGCTAAATTAACCCTGAAGCTTGTAGTAATAAGAATTAAACTGCTTTTACTTATCTATCTACTTATCTGCAAATAAACCTACCCATTAGAGTAACAGCTGCCGTTCTGATGCTCTGCATTCTGCTTTGATTAACACCTCTGCACAGATCTGTTAGAGCTGTAGCACCAAAGGACCTGGCCCCTTACTGCACTGTCTATGTGTCTATGCAAATAAACACCCAGAGCTCTCCATACATTTATCTACTGATGTCAAAAGTGTGTTGGGAGTGAGGGAAAACGCTCAGGGAGATTTTCATCACATTCCCATTTCAGCACAGATGACTTGCACAGCCTTGGGTAAGTCTCCTTGTGCCTCAGTACTCATCTTTAGAAGTGGATTAATATCATTTCCCTGCTGCACAGGACTACCATAAATGCAAGACTTTACCAATAAAATTAAAATAATAAATAATAAAAAAAATCTAGTCATGAGATACTAGACCAACAAGGTCAAGATGTTCATATCGTCTTTGTACAGAGTTGTGGATACCTTTTTAACAAAATTATTAACAAAATAAGAAAAATTTAATAAGCCTAAAATCATTAGAAAAAACCACCTCAAGAGAATCAGCAACAAGCAAAGTAATAAAAACCAAAGTCTATTTCTCCTATGAAATGGCCTTTCATGTGAAGACTTACTAGTGCATTCATAACTATCAAAATAGAGCTTGAAAACTGAAACTATCCCATACAAAAAACAAACACAAATCCCCACCAGAATATATTCTCCAAAGCTATGATTACCTGGTAGTCACTAAGCAAATAACTTTTAAAATGTACAATGTACCGTGAAAAAATTAGCTTCATAAACTTGTTCATAACATCATAATGCTCCCTGTTTTGTATGAGGCATAACCTGAATTTTTTCATAGAAAAAGAAATATTGTCTGATTTTAAAAATAGTAATTTTTAATAATCTACAGATATATCTAGGTAGTATTTTATATGTCTCATACATAATAAAGAATGTTCAAAACACTTCAAAAATAATTTCTTGCAGGATTGGCAAGGGTAGCATAAGACCAAAGGACATCAAAACTGTAACAATCAAGTCTTATTACTAAATCCAGATCGTGATACCATTCTACTCATCCTTTCTTTCTCTTTCTTTGTCCCTTTCTTCTAAAAATACATAGTAAGCCAAACTAAAAAAAAAGCCTTAGTAAGTGCTTTGTGTCTGGATTTGTTAAGGTTGGCTAAGTTTAAGTTTGCTAAATAAAAGTTTGTGAAGTACTTACTTTGCCTGGATGTTATTTTAAAATTTGTCAAGTACCTAGTTCTATCTTAATGTTCTAAATTTTGCAAGTAAAAGTTTGTTGTTGAATCTGCTGAGAATTCTGTTATCTCCTACACATTGCCCAGAGTCAATTAAACCACCTTCCCCTAAACCAGGCAACTAGACAGGAGCATAACAAGTAGTTAAAGTCAGTTTGAGATTGTTCTTCCCTTCCCTTTTAGAGAAGATATATCCATAAGGTCTTTCTAACCTGTGAGAAACATTCTCCCTAATCTCTGCATTATCTGCAGTGAGCTTACAAACAATTCCCTATAATTCAGAGCAATATTCTTAAAGTTTCTTTCTTTTTTAATGTCACTGACTTCCTTAAATGCTTACTAAACAATGCAAATTATCAATGACAGATCAGTAAAACACCACAATCATGTTGATGACCCAGCTTCCAAGCTATGTCTTTCAAGAAGTTTAGTTTAGACTTGATTCTCATCAGGTCCCTCAGTCTATTACCAATATTTAAAGTGCTCCTTTCATTCCAGATTTTCATCCGAGAGGAATCCAGTTCATCCATATCAAGATTGCTCCAGAATATAAACCAGAGTATAGTCAGTGGGAAAATGAGATTTACTTGTCTAAACTAAACAGCTAACACAAACACACTCATCATGTAAAGTACGTAACCAATTTCCAAATTTTGAGCTACATGGGGTTTGGCACTTTCTGATTTCAGTGAAATTGTTTCAAATTCATCCACAATAAGGTAAAGAAGAATACAAGTTTAAAGGAAGTTTATACATATCTTACACCATTTTACCCATATATGCAAAAGATTCAGGAACTCACCATATCAGTATCTGACACAGGTCCAAAACTGGTCACATAGATGTTAGTGAAGACTTCTGTAATACTATCTGATATAAAAAGAAAAAAAAAAACAAACAAGCAAACATTTTAAATTGATAGTATTTTTTTCTAACTCTCTATGCAAGATTTTGAACAGGTTTCTCTCTTTGTTTACTACCCCTCACCAGTATCCTGTTGTAAATACTGGGGGCTTCTCTCCCACTTAACACAGAGGTTAATGAAAAAGCATTTGTCCAACAGAGTAGTTTGTTTCAGTTTGTTCAACTATACAGTCATCAGCACCTACACACATATATTCCATTTCTCTACCAGCAAAAATAACCACAGCATCTTGAACTTAACATGGAAGGACAGTTAAGCCTAAACAAAATGCCTTTGTTGCAGAGGTGTTACCTCAGTTGTTGCAGATCTCTCCTATTAAAGCCCTTCTAATTGAAGGCTGGTTTCTACATTCTTAATAGCTTTCTCTTTGAAAAGGCAATTATTGACTGCACCAAATGTAACAAAACAGCACCAAATGTAACAAAACAACTTTTCAATTGCATGTATGTTTTGAGTGGCACATATTTTAACATAACAGTTCCTTTCCTTGATATGCAATCCTTCTGATATATTGCTGTGGTACTGTGAACACTTTGAGAAAATGTCCTTCCTAATCATGGCAGTCAGACAGCCATGAAATCAGAATATTAGATATTGTACTGCAGGGAAAAATAATTGCTTATTTTTCTATCTTCAGCTTTCAATTAGGCACAAAATAAAATGATATTCATTAAGAGGGATAGTATGCACAGGAAATTTCTTACAGCAGTTACCAACTGCAGTCTGCATTCTAGACAGTCAACACAAGGAACTCTCTGCCTTAAAGCCAGCTGCTGATTGGAAAAGTAAGATTTGAATATAACTAGGTGTAATTTGACTCATCACAGAATTTCCCGTTCCCAAAAATAATACAACTGCCCCTTGTATAAGTGATCCTGCTGTTATATTACGATTATATTTCAATATTTAATCATTATTAGATATGGGTAGTTAATAGTTTCTGTTTTCCTAAAAGCTGCCTTTTAACAACTACATGATAAAAGCAAATTTTACTTCTAATCATATTGAGGCCAAGAGTACAATCCCTGCTCTTTACTGGGAGAAACCAGTGGTGCTCAGTCGTGACAGCAGAGTCTCTACCAGCCACCAGGAAAAGGCCAGGACTGATCCCTGAGCAGCTGCATGGGGAGCAGTGCATTTTCAAAGGGATACAGCTGCAAAGGTATAGTGATTTCAGACAACTTCTGGAGCATGGGTGAGGAATATTCATCTGTTCTCATCCATAAGGAAACTTCCTTCTTCAGCCAGACGCTAGAATATAGGACTTCATAAACCCCTTCCTAGCAAATATAATCTTTTTTCCCAAGATCATATCTGCTTTTAAGCAAATAAATGAAGACTGACTCCTACAATTCTTCTGCATGTCCTGAGATATGTTTATTTGTATGATAGAGGCTTCTGGAATCTCTTATGAAACATCCTTACACAAGGTGAGTTGATTTATACTCCAAACATCTAACAAACAAATTTTAGGTCAGTGTACAGAAACAGTGTTGAGTCTGCACTGTTCTTGGTATTCAATAAGGATAAAGTCTGGGTCTGGCTGAAGTGTCCTACAGAAGCCACAAGCACATTCCAGAGGACTAGAGATTTCATGCTGCCTGTGGGAGACTCTCCAGAAAAAAGAAAAAAATATTATTATCTCCAAATGGTTACCTGGCACAGACTGGAATGAAATGGGAGAGTGATAAGAGAGCTACTCTTCAGGAGGTAAAATGGTGCTACAGGGACTAATTGTGAAATTTGGTCTTTACTGTGATGACAATACAAAATATTAATTATAATTTCATGAAAAGCACTGGTGTTACAAAAATATGACTGACAACCAAGTATCCCAACAGCAGAGTATCAAGGCTAATTTCAAATATATTTGCATAACTTGAAGGAACCTTACTATAGGCAACAAAGTCACATCCTTACCTGCACACTCCCACCCGCCAAATGCTTGGAAACATGGTCCTTTTGTAACCTCACTCTATTGCTATCAGCTATTTTTATCTCATTTATTATTTGACACAGTGGAATGACTTTAATATTTGCATATAATAAAGTACAGCACATGGAATCTTCTAGCTTGCCTTGCATTCCAAGTTTTAATTACAAAAAAAATCCCATATTCTATGATTTCTAAACTCTTCTAGATCTACTCTTCCATCAGAAATGAGCAGAGAAAACAGAGAGAACAAACATATTGACCACAACTTATGCTATTAGAATAGTCTGTAGATTGGTTTGTGTTAAGAAAAAGTACACTAAGGAGGAAATGGCAGATTTTTATTTTTTGCCTCCTATTTTCCAAATTCTGCATAGTTAAGAAGTTTATATTCATACTCTACCTTCCAGAAAACAAGTTCTTAAAGACAAAAGAAGCTGAAATGTAATAAACCCTGAATTACTCATGTTACTATCTCTTTGTGTTAGCAGCCTGAGTATTTGTTTCTTCCTTGTTACTTTACGTAGTGTTAGAATAAAGGTTCCTCTGAATTAAAAGTTTGAACTTGAGGGTTCAGAATCAATGTTCACAAAAAGAAAAAAATTAATCTTCCTTTTTTTACAACAAATATTGTGGCTATTGCTTTGAAGGAGTATATATGCTTGTCACACAAACAATTCAGAAGCAAAAAGCACACTTTCAAATGGACTCCCTAATCAAAATTAATCTAGCAGGCACAACAGTTACAGGTTTTTATAACTCATATTCTGTCAAGAACAGCATAAGTCATCATACTTAGCCCACCAGAGATTCAAACAGTTCTGGACCATCAGTTCTTTTGGAAAAGCCAAGGAATATACTCAGCTAAAAGATGTTCAATGCAACATGTGTTTGCATACAAATCTCACCTGCTTTTTTGAGAAAAGTTAAGGATAATCTTTTTCTTTTGGGATTATAAAATCTGTTTCCTCAAGGGACATGTAAGCACATAACTAAAAGGCCTGTTTTTCAAAAGTGCTTAAATCAATGGAGGCCCATATTGAAAAGCAGTCTAGATTTTAAAGAACCCTCTGTTGGGAGGAAGGGTGGTGGATTCATTTATGCTTGTGGGCTCTTAAGTTATTTTGAATCACTGCTTTTGAAGTTTATACAAAGAAATTAGAATGGCAAATGGTAAGGATATTTCTATTTAAGATGCTTCTTTTATGGGAAAAAATCTCAGGCAAAGAATGTAACACTCAGCTGCCACCATCACATCTAAAATTCTGCATAGGCTATTACAGCACCATTTCTGACTTGCTTTGGTCATAAATATTAAAAAGGAAGCCCTATCTGACTTAGATCAGACCAGTTTCTCAGATAACGGAAGCCAAAGTTAAACTGACAAAATATAATCAATAAAGTTAATGATAAAGGAAGGAAGAAGAGCACATCCTGTGGAAGTAAAAAAAGCAGTAATTATTAAGATCATATTGCACATGGTTCTCAAGCACTGGTTTCTTCTGATTCCCCTTCCTTAATTGAACTGACTATCATTACTGGAAAAAATAAAAAATAGAAAGTAAGGAAAAGTAATACATATGAAAAATTGCAGAAGATTTATATATCCTTATCTGTCCTCAGCTGGAATATTTGATGTGTACTTTAATTACATCTAGGATTTTTAAAAAACTTAATTATAACAACTCCTCTATGAAGATAATTATTTTATTATCCTCAATTTTCCATACTTGTGAAGCTGAGGCAGAAGGATTACATTATGTGTAAGAAATGTGAAGTACAGGTGTCTGCCTACATTAAGTAGTCACACTGGAAAATGTCAACATCATTGGCTTGTCAAAAAATTAGAAAAGTGGTTCAGAGCTTAGCTAGAGTTGATATCAGTGGCATCACCAATTCCTTTATGGCAACTCTCCTGCTGTTGGGATATCCTTTCTGATGGTGTGAAATCCTGCTGACTTGTTCCTCAGTAGAAGAGCTGGCTCAGCTGAAGTAGGCTGCTTGGCAGAGAATTTGCAGAGGCTGAAGTCTAAACCAGCCCAGGCTGAGTAATGGAGATGATCAGAAAAGGCAGATGAAAAGGTTCCTCATGAGCCTTTACCAGTTTGTCAAAATGGTAAGATTCCATAGAGGCATTTAAATTTTCAATGAGTTCCTTTGGTCTGCTGTCTGACAGAAGTTTTCAAAATGTTTTCGAGTTCTTTCATATGTCCCTTCTCAGCTGCCTGCATCCCTGACAGGGTACACAGAGTTCCAGTGTCTGTGATGTGAGGCAGCTAGACATGCAGGGTTCTGCATACATGAGAGCTCTCCCTTTCCTGGAGAATGCTGAGAAAGCATTCTCTTTATTGAAATAAATTTTCACAGTATTTTTCGTGTTTGAGAACGACCTGGGTATTACTCATTCCCCCTCTCAGCAAAATAATCTAGAGTCCTTTCTTCACAGAGAGTAGGGACAAAACACACATGGCTCATTCTGTGTATGTTTAAAAGAAAAGCAGAAAGGAGTGTGATCACTGCAAAATCTGCAAAATTTTCAGAAAGGTTCCAGATGTTTGTTTGCATGAAACTGGCTACATTATTGATTAATGTGTCAAGGATGCTTTCATAAGAAAACAGGCCTAGTAGATTGGGTTGGACTTTTAATTCTTTTTAATTTTAATTTTTAGTCAAAAAGAGCTGTAAATACAGGTTTTGGGCAGCTAAAATAGCAGACAATCTCTCTAAGATAATCAAAAACCATCAAAAGTGATTTTGGTGGGACAGAACTTTTAAAGTATACATATGCAGTTCTAATGTGTACTATAAAAAAAAATTCAGACAGACATTATTTTAAAAGTAGAATTAATACTCCCTGTGAGAACACTGCAAGGCTGTAACTGAAAGGCTGCTGAAGCATGCAAAAAAAAAAAGAGAGAAGCAAAAATAAAATACTGCTCTTTAATTATGTCAACAACAATAACAAAAAAGGAGATCAAGTTGCAGTGCTATGGGAAACAACTGAAGATTTCT